GGCGGCTGCGGGAGCGTTGGGATGCTGGCCTTGGTCAGGTAGCTGTTCACAAGAAAGGCGGTGTGAGCCGGGGCATTGTCGTGGTGCAGCTTCCAGTCGGCTGCGATGTCTTGTCGGACCCGATTGACCCTTCGTTTGAGTCTCTTGAGCACTTCCACGTAAAACTTAGCGTTGACGGTTTGTCCAGGAGGAACAAATTCATGGTGGACGATGCCTTTCATGTCAAAAAAGACAATGAGCATCGTTTTCACTTTGGATTTGCTCATTCTTCCCTTTTTTGGGCGAGGAGACGCCGGTGTGTGCCACTCGGAAGATTGCCTCTTTGTCTCGGGATCATACTCAAAGATCCATGACTCGTCACCTGTGATTACGTTATTCAAAAATTGGGGGTCACTTTCACACATATTCAAATTTTCTTGGCACACTTCCACTCGCCGCAATTTCTGGTCGTCAGTGAGCAAAGGTTTTGGGACCATCTTCGCGCACACCTGGCGCATGTTCAAATGCTCCGTCACAATGTCATGAACCACAGATTTTGGTAAATTTAACATCTGTGCAATTAAACGAATACTTAGTCGACGGTCTGAGTTCAAAACTTTGCGCACACGAGTCACTTTGTCGGTGTTTGTCGAAGTCGAAGGTCTTCCAGCACGGTCTTCATCGGCGACCTCTTCCCGGCCCTCCGAAAAGGCCTTGTGCCACCGAAACACACCACTTCTTGCTGAAGCATCATCTGGGTAAGCCTGCTTGATCATATCAAGCGTCTCTGTCGCAGATTTTCACACAGAATTTAATCGCGTACCTCTGCTCTAACGAACGCTGCATTTTCGGCTTGCACCACTCACAGAAACACGTCGCGCGAAAAAGCCTGTCCTGACTCTCCAGGTGCTCGGAGAAAAATGACCGGCCGCTCGTTCGTTAGCTAGGAACGCCCTCTACCGGATCCAGTCGGTGCGCGCACGCTCCGAATTACAGTCGCGGCGGAAGAAAATCAGTCCTATTACTTTCCGGACAAACCCTGTATATGCAGAGAATTTTTTTGTTCAAATTCATACTTAATCTTCTGCATCGCGTTATACATGTGCATTTAGAAAATTAATGCAACTGTAATTTTAATATCTATGTTGAACTATGCCAGATCATTTGTTTGTAGTATGGGATGAGGACGCGTACAGGGAAAATAGAGATTTCAATTTTCCACCTTTAACTTTTCCGTGTTTTATTAACAGAGGTGGTCTTCGACCATTCGCTTTGGCTAACAGTGATGAACTGATGATCTTTCATATCAAAACACTCACCCCTACGCACCCTGATGCATTCTCCCTTGGAATCATTCTTTCTTCTTCCAAACCGAACCGCTTTCACTGTAAAGCAATCATTCAACGATACACGCATATTTCTCAGGCATTCCTCGAACTCGGACACCCAACGCGACATTCGGGACACCACGATTGTCCCGTCCGCAGTGTCTACGTGTCACACACCACGATTGTCCCGTCCGCAGTGTCCACAAAGTTCGCACCATACCAATTTATTTTTTCGAAAACTAAATGAAATTTTCGACCCCCATAAACGTACACACACGCACCACGATTGTCCCGGCCGCAGTGTCCACAGAAAACACAATTCACAGGAAACACATTCACAGCAAACGTTCAAAATATCCACCATTCTCTTCTAAGCATAATTGTATTCTTAGAAGTAGACTTTGTCGCATTTTTTCGAAGTTCGTCATAACATTTTTTACGATTACCGCGGAAAACTCGATTCGCTGTTCTAATTCTTCTATTGAATTTACATGGGTTGAATATGTTATAGTTTTCATGTGTCCCCAGAAATGAAAATCCATTGGGTTTAAATCTGGGGACCGTGCAGGCCCTGGTATAGGTGCTCCTCTTCCGATCCATCTGTTCTGGAAGTGTGTTGATAGGTGCTCACGTACACTAATTGTAGAGTGTGGAGGTGCGCCGTCTTGCATGTACCACATGTTATTCCCTATTTCCAACGGTACATCTTCTAGTAGTGCGAATAATCAATTTTTTAAAAAGTCCAGGTATCCTTCACCTGTCCTGTCCATCTGTTGGGCAGAACAATAGGACCAATCAGGTCATTACCCAAAATGCCTGCCCAAATATTTAATGAAAATTGACGTTGCGTATTAATCGCTAACGTCGCGTGCGGATTCTCCTCATTCCAGACATAGCTATTGTGGAAATTAAATATTTTATGTCTGTTGAAGCTCGCATCATCTGTAAATAATATTCGTGAAAGGAAGGATTCATCAGTCCGTATTTTCTCTTCCATCCACGAACAAAAGTTTCTTCTTCTTTCATGGTCACCCTCTTCTAATGCCTGCACTCGTTGATAGTGGTATGGGTGCAGCTCGTTATCCTTCAAAATTTGCCATACGATGCTCTTGCTGACACCCTCTTCGGCTGCAATCCGTCGTGTACTAGTGGTCGGGTCGTCAACAATACGGCGCATTACCCTTTCTTCTAAATCCAGATTTTGTTGTAATCGTCCTCTGCTTCGTGTGGGTTTCGTCATGCCAGTCGTTCATAATCTTTGGTGCACTCGTAAAAACGTTTTTCGATCTGGCAGACGTTTGTTGGGGAAGCGCTCTGCATACATTTGGCGGGTGCAAACGGTATTTCTTTTTGCTTCCCCATAGCATAAATGAATTTCAGCCAATTCTTCAACACGTTGTGTTTGGCCTTATCTTAATCAGAAAAATGTAAAAAATTTATTAGTCGAAGCTTGATAACGAAAACGTCAAATCTAAAAATGTTTGTACTTGCATTAGTATTGTCACGTCATTATAAGATTGATGCGTGATTTTCAATAAGTATACCGTGACATTCGCCTTAAGAGGGAAAAAGCTCCACAAGGAGCAATATGACGTTTTATTTGATTATCGCAAGATGTTTTGCTGCCGGTTTCAATTTATATGCGGCTTGAGGAAGCTGGAAAAAGCACCAGCAGGATGTAGACTCTACTCCCAAACTCGTCGTTTCCTATGACTATTACGTAATCTGGTAATCTATGCTTCGAGTCAAGTCATTTTTTTTCTTAAGATAAATTGGGCAGACTGTAGAATCCAATGCTGAATATTTCATCTGATCCTTTTGTTTACAAACTCCGGAGTCGTGATCACTGCCGCAATGCCTGCAAGCAGGAGCAGCTGCTGTGCAGTTTTTCGCTGAGTGATTAAGCTTCATACACTTATAACATTGTAGTACCTTAATTTAGTCCTCAATTCTACAAAATTCGTAGTTAATGTTTGCCGTACCACGGTAATTTATTTTTAATTTGAGGTGTAATCTCCAGTATTACATTCTTGTATTTTTTATCTCTATTCATGGTTTCTACTATCTATTGCTTCTGCTATTACCTTTCAAATGTCGGTAAATGCAACATAACAATACATAATAATGATCTGTATGAATTCAAAGGGTACAGTGAACAATGAACTAAGTAAACGTTTGTTGATATTGTTTTACTATACGAGAAAATATAATATGAACACAGTGTTTGTTCAGTCATATTTGTTCAGTTCTTGGCCAAATATTCACGTATCAAAAGCGATGTGTGCAACGGAGTATTATCGTGGTGCAGGATTCAAGAATTGTTTTTTCACACATCTGGCCGTATCCGACGAATATTTTCACGCAAACGTCTCATGACGCTCAAATAATATTTGTTGCGTGCGGCGTACGCGCGTATAAAGCCAGAAAAATATTTGCCCTAACATGATATATTGTAAACGGGTCTTAATGTTGTATGGATTCGGAGATACGCTAGTCCCATACGGGCCCTTTCATTAGATCCCGAATTCTATGGCATAATAAGGAGGCAATAAAGGAAAGTTGTAATACACAAATAATTAAAGCATATAAAAGATTATATTTTATAAAATAAATGATTCAAAGCATAGCGTGTACGATATAATATGATTTACAATGGTTAAATGTTGAACAAAGGAAAATATTATTTATGTTGATTTCTGAGATACGCAATTTTAAGGTTCGAAAGATAAGCATTTTTTCAAATAACAAAATTATAGAAAATCTAGTTAGGGAAATCCCACAGTTAATTGTTGACTATTAGTGATGTCTCAAATATTCATAAAATAACTGGAAGAGTAAAGGAAACAACTCACCCAAATATCTGTACTTGAATAAATTTTGGAAATAATCAATTTCCTTGTAAAATGCAAATTAACAGGTATGCCTGGTTCCTGGAGGAAGAAACACACACAGTTAACCACTCCACCAGTGAGAATTTTGAACACTGAACTACTGCGAAATTAAAATGAACTATAAAAATGAAACTATACTTTAAGATTAAAAATAAAATGAAATTTAATTGAACGAAAAATAAAATAATAAATTGAATTAAAAATTTAACGAAAGTTTAATGTAAAAATTTAACGAAAGTTTAACGTGAAGATAGAGTCTTTGCCCTAATTTGTGACTTTAATAAAGTTAAAGACAAACTTGTCTCTTAATCACTTTACGGTCCCCTGACACGCACCTCGCGATTATACGTCGAAGAGTACCACAACTTGGACTTTTCGGAGAAGACCAGAGAAAGCCTGTCCGAAATTGTTTATATTGCATTAATATGCGCCTAATGAATTAGGCTACGAGGCCAATGCGTAAGGGACTGTGATTCGTTCTTTCCTTTACTTTCGAGCTAGGAACTGTTTGTTAATGCTGATGTTTCATTAAATTAACTATTGAATGTAAAAGAATACGGTGTTACGCACAAGAGTGATACATTGTATTATGGCGTGACCGGAAGCGGGTATCGAATCCGCCCGAAATTCCTGAAGACGATCGGCATTTGTCATCGACGTTATCGGTGGTAATAACGGCCGAAAAAACAGAACAGTCGATTGAAATCTGTCGCAACGTGCAGATTGCCTTCCGTTACTTTTTATTAAAATATATACAGATTTAATTTTAATCTATTACGAGTATAAGCCTTTATTTTCTTCATCCTGACAAAGAATCTTACATGAATAATTTTTACATTCATAACCAGCGGAGTGAAAATGTTAATCGCTATGTATTATACAATTTTTGAACCAAACGTTTGCTCCCGCCTACGTACATTGCTAATGGTGTAGAACGGTTGCTATTGTGTACGGTGGTTGCTGCACATTGTAACGTTGGTTTACTTATATTGCTATATCCTTCTATACCTATTACAAATAAATGTGTACAGTTTTTAATTGCCCCGCATATGTCCTCGTCTGTTATTTCTAAACTATCTCTACAATGGATTTCGGTTAAACTGTTTAATGATTTCGAAAAGGATCATCCTATCGTGGGGTGCGTGTAGTTGATTTCGATTATTTTCAGTTTCGCCAATGGTGAAAGAGCATTTAGTCCAAAAGTATCTCTCACATAAGTACATCCGTTGAGATTTAAAGTTTCAAGCCGGTGCATATTTTGTCCTATTTCAACTATTATATCTGATGTGACCCATCCACAGAAGGTGAGACTTAAGTCTATAATACGACTATAGCAGGCTCGGAATGGTACACCAAGTTCGATCGGTCCAAACTCCAACTCTAAGCGGTTAGCTCCTCCTTTGTTTGGCTGTGGTTCAAAGAATATTCCACCATGAAAAGATATAGCAATTAGTGTATTCGGAATATGGCTATTATTAAGCAAAGCTTGTAAAATACTATGGACTATTAGTGATTCGCAAAAGCTAATATCTATATGTGTTAGTGTATCCTACGTCTCGAAAATTGCATAAATTCATTTTCTGAGGATAGCTTTAGCACTGGTAGCTATCCACCGTATCGAGCTGCTACCAATTTTACGCCAACAAATATCACATTTTGAATAAAACGAAAAATTTTTCGGTCGAAAACGTGAGACAGACATAGATTTTAACAGTCAAGATGGCCGCTCCTAGACACGTCGCGCCGTATTTTCGCTTTTACGCAAAATTTAGAGATTTACTCACCGAAAACGATAACAGCCCGACATTACTGTAATGGTACGATGTCGGTTTGGTCCATTTTTTGTCAATTTATCATTTCTGGAAGAAATAGGAACGAAACTACGATTGTGTACACCGATGCCTGTCAACGATGTTCCGCCATGCAATTATAGTTTCACGATTATCCACTTGAACCGCTTGTAGTATTAGTCGCACGTTGTTGCGGTTTTGGCCAGATTACTTACAACGTCTATGAAAACATGAAACTATCGGTAACTGCATACAGTTTTCTGGACTAGGTATGACACTGCGCATTGCACTGTGCACGTCACGTAATTCAACTGTTCAGTTTATGGGATAAGGACGCGTACAGGGAAAATAGAAATTTTAATTTTCCACCTTTAACTTTTCCGTACTTTATTAACAGAGATGGTCTTCGACCATTCGCTTATGAACTGATGATGAACTGATGATTTTTCATACCAAAAACACGCATCCTGACGCATTCTAATCCGGAATTATTCTTTTTTCTTCCAAACCGAATCGCTTTCATTCTAAACTAATCACTCAACAATACACGCTATGCTTATTACTTAGGCACTCCTCGAACATTCAACGCGACACTCGAACTGATCATTCAAACATCCTCTCGGAAACACCACGCAGGTGTCACGCCGAAAGAGTTTAAAGAAAAAGGAACAAACGCGTACGCTCGAAAACCTTTATTATTATGTTGTGTTGCGCAAGAATGCGGGGCCTTATATATATAGTGGAAGTATATAGTGGAAGAAGAGCCCCCTTATATATATAGTGGAAGAAGAGCCCCCTTCCCTATACCAGCTCCAAGGGCCGTCCTGAGTCATAGGAATGACTCCTTAGTTGCAGGGATGACTCCAGAGTCCAGGGTTTGCTGGATTACTCATGGAACTGAATCACGGGAGGATTCAGTGTCCATGATCTAATCTGCCCTTATCGGCTCGTTACACAGGATTCACTCGGACTCGTTCAGACAAACAACTCATTTATCCATTTCACTCCCATGAAAATTCTTAAAGCTAGATTAAACATAAATATTGCAGGGACGTGGCGGCCGTTTATCGGCGCTACACTATTATATCGTCAACGTATACGAAACCTCAACACCCTGTAAGCCACGTAATACTAAATTTATTAGACTCTGGAAAGTTGCAGGTGTATGTTTGAGATCTTCGGGCATCCAAACGTATTCGTAATGACCTGTGGCTGTGGTAAAAGCTGTTTTATGACCATTTTTCGTTTTCATTTCTACTTGTTGGAAACCACTGTTAAATCAATGGTGGAAAAATACTGAGCGTCTCCGATATGATCAAATATTTCAGAAATGTTCGGTAATACATATGCATCACCAATTGTCTTTTCATTTAATTTCCGAAAGCCTATTACCATTCGCCATCTTGGATTACTTTTCAAATCAGGTTTCTTTGAGAGAGTCCAAAGCGGTGAATTTCTTGCTGAATTTGAAGGTTTTATAATACCGTCAGATAATTTGTTTAAAATCTGTGTCTCTATTTCTTGTCTATGAATGAGGGGAAATCTGTATGGTCGCGTATTTATTGCAATGTCGTTTGCAGTTGGTATGTGATGCTTAATAAATGTTGTTGTCTGCAATTTATCATTAGGTAAGCGAAATCTTTCAGGAAATTCTTCTATGAGACTTATTACATGTGCTCTTCCTTCCGTATTTAAATGATCCAAACGTAGTTCAATAATTTCGGAAACTCTGTCTGAAGTACTTAGTGAGATTTTGTTTTCTGAATCGGAATCAAAATATTCATCTTCTTCTGGAAAGTTATGATATTCGAATGGAACTAATTCTTGTCCAGGTATTTTTACTTCTACATCTCTTTCTAAGGTGTTAATAGTTAAGACATGACACATGCTACCATCGTTTACAAAGACTGCAGCTTCCTCGATGTACAAACCTTGTTATCTATACGTGGTAAATACCTTTCTTTCAAATTAGCATTTATTACATCTATTGCTATTTACTGCCATGTCCGTGCTTTTATCGAAAATAATCGCAGTTTTAAATTCCTACGTTGTGAGTATTATTGCACTAAATTGTATTTATCTCCGCGCCTGTATCCACAAAGAAATTAGCCAAACTCGTTCGTAATTCTTTCGCATGCATTCTAACTACTGGTGAGTCGCGTTTCATCTCTACGTAAAAGATGTTCGTCCCTTCTAGAAATTTTACTGTCGATTGATGTTGTGCTTTCGCGAAGCTCGCCGTTCATAAGTTTTTCCTGGAGCGAAACGACATTTTAAATGTTTGATTAGTTCATTAATCGAATCAAAATGTAAATCACAAATACTATCTTTTGCTTCCTCGCGTAATTTCGTTAAAACAACACGAATGAAAGATCGTTTGGATTCTTGTGGAAGACAATATGCACTATTTTGAATGTCTATGAGAAAATCTTTAAGTGGTACATTATTTCCGTCAAAAAACTGTATGCTAGCGATGATTTGTTGATTGGCAAAACTTTGAATAAAAGTCGCAGTCATTTGTTCAGTACGAGAGAAATTAGGTACATCTGCGCTCGAACCGGCGCTATGCAAGGGTTGAAACATTTTACGTTATATGTTAATTATTTTCAATATACACACAATAAAAGAAATATAAGTGAAACCGTAAAAATATAAACGATAATGGCAAATATGATCCAATAGTAAACCTTATCAAGGGAACCAAGTTGCTTTTCCCTCCAACCTGTGTATTAACAAATCACAAAATTGCGTTGCTCGAATTAACTTAAAAAATTTAATTACTTGATTTTATGAATACGAGTATCTCTAAACCTTTTGAGATTCCAATTGTAAGATTTTAAATTTTAATTGTGAATGATAGAAGTAAAAATTTTGTATAAGATAGCCCGTTCAAAGGTATCCCATCGTTGCCACCAATTTTCTTCACGGCTGTTACGTGCGGGAAACGCGCGTATAAAGCCGCGAAGTTGTATGCCCTAAAAAAATTAATTGTCAACGGGACTTAATGTTTTGTGGATTCGGAGATACGCTAGTCCCATCCGGGCCCTTTCATAAGATCGCAAGGTTTGTGGGATATGATGGAGGCAATAAAGTAATTCACAAATGATCAAAATATATAAAAGATTATATTTTATAAAATATGAAATGATTCGAATGGTAGCGTGTGCAATATAATATGAGTTACAAAGGTTAAATTCTGAACAGAACAAAAATATTGTTAAAACCGGAGATACGCAAGTAGAAGGTTTGAAGGACAAGCAATCTTTCAAATACAAAATAAGAAGATAATCCAGTAAGGGAGATCCCAAAGTTAAATATTAACTACTGGATATACTTGCCGGAAATATTCATAAAATAACTGGAAAAGTAAACGAAACAACTCGCCCAAATGTCTGTACTTGAATAAATTTAGAAATAATCAACTCCCTTATAAAATGTGAAATATCAACTATGCCTGGTTCCTGGAGGAAGAAACACACACACATTTAAGCACTCCACCAATGAGAATTTTGAAACCTGACCTATTGCGAAATTCAAATAAACTATAAAAATGAAATTATACTTTAAAATTAAAAATGAAATATAATTGAGTGGAAAAATAAAATAAAATAATAAGTTGAATTGAAAATTTATCGTGATTATTTAACGTGATTATTTAACGAAAATTTAACGCCAAAGTTTAACGTGAAGATAGAGTCTTTGCCCGAATTTGGCATTTTCACAAATTCTAAACCAAACTCGTCTCTAAACCGCTTCACGGACTCTCAACACGCACCTCGCAATTATACACCGAAGAGTGTCGCAACTTGGACCTCTCGGAGAAGACCACAGTGGGTCTAGTCCGGAATTGTTTACGTTGCATTGAGATGCGCTTAACGAATTAAGCTGCGAGGCCAATGCGTAAGGGACCGTGATTTGTTAATTAGTTGGTAGTGGGTGCATGTGCGTTCCTCCCTTGACCAGTTCTTATCTTTCTCTCTTTATATAGTTCTTTCCTCTACTCTTGAGTTATGGACTGTTAATTAACTATTGAATAATTTTTACATACATAACCGGCGAAGTATAACATGTTAATCTGCATATATTATGAAAATTTGGAATCAAACAATATCTATTTCGTTTTTACAATTATTAAAATTAATTGCGCTCGGTACCGTAACTATTGTAGGACTGATTGGCGTATGAGTATTTGCAATACCGGTATAACGCAAGTCTCTATTGTTATTTTATGGACAATTCATATAATATTGTAATGTTATGAGGACAATTTCTATTGTACTTCTATATTGCATCGCGGGTCCGCGAAGAACATTCAAGAATGCTTGGTGTTATCGGACCACACGAGCGCGACTTCCAATTAGGCTTGGTGGTTTGGAGAAGTACAATGACCTAAGAATTTGGCCATGGGACCACGTTGATTTCAAGGAAGGAATGTGTTATATTAACAATCGTAGTTTAGTCGCCAGAAGATAATCTATCTAATAAATATTAAAGACCGTTACTGCGTACGATCAAGGTGTTCTCAGAATGCAATATGCATCATCTATACACATCCGGTCAGTGAGAAATTACAAAGGAAATTTTGAAAAATATTCCTGTTCGGAATATAACATTAAATTTGTTAAAAGTACTTAAAGAATATTTTAAGAAAAGCAAATACGCTTTTATGTGATTATCATTTAAAATATTATAAATTTTTGGTGCGGAATTACTGGGACTTTCAAAAAGTTCTAAATGAAAATAAGATGTTAAGGTTTTACTGGCAATGAGTGCTGACGAATGGCAAATACAATTTAATACAATGAGAGCCGGTACCTCTCTTTTGAGTCTACTAACGAATGAATCTTTAACGCCTGTCATCACGGCAGCGTTGTCACACGCAATTCCAGCGATATTTGATATAGCTTGTGACGTATCAGTGGGGGAAACCCGGAGGAGGTTCCCTAGGGTAGGGGGCGTTCAGGGAAAACAGCCCTCCACGCACCGATGCTCACACCCACGGACGATATTTTTCACGGGGCGCCAGTGCCAATGCACGCATCCGCGGTAATCGCCCTTCCGGCTGCTCGATCGAGAGCGGAAATCAGAGGGAGTCAGAAAATTAGTGAAAGACCCACGAGTAGGTATCCAACACAGAAGTTTTATTTGGGTCTCTAAAATAGGCCACGCAAAAAAAAAAAAAAAAAAAAAAATTTAAAGAAACAAAAGAGTGGGCCCCACGCGTTACAAGCAACGGTGAGGGTAACGGGTTCGACTCGCCAATTGCGTGGGTGGCTTTCACGGCGCGGGGGCTCACAGTACGCGCAAGTACAAAAATAACTTTCAGAAAAAAAATACGCCGACTTCGAAATGCACTAAAAAGTATAAAATAATTTCTATTTCCTAATGAAGTAATTTCTATTTCATTCAATCATACAATTACGTAACAGATATGAATGAAACCTATTTACTCGTTAGGTAGTATATTAAATACATTTCAACCTTTTCGGAGGCGGCGCAAAATTAAAAATACCTCAGTAAACGTTCCTGCCAATAACCAGTTGATTGTGGTATGACGTATTGGAAATTAATAAATCCTGAGAAAGAATACGTACCATTATAGATATATCTAGTAATATACGTAAATGTAACGACTGCATCTTCATTTCGCAACGTTTCTGATATAAATGAAATTGAATCGACTTCGTTCGCATGTGG